TATGTGGTCTTCCATTTTTAAGAGGGTTCAAAGGATTTAATAGAACATATGTACCGATTTGCAAACCGATCGGACGTTTCTAAACAAAATTATCGTGCACACGGACAGACAGACAGACTGCAACACCAAATTATAAACGATCTCGAAGATCTTAGATAAAATTAAACAAATGATTTTTCTATTGTTTATCTTTAGCATGCTGAATCCAAAATTCAACTTCCCACCTTCATCAGAAGTCCCATTTTCATAGTCCCATTGACATCTCCAAGATGTACCTATGTAATAAATCTTTACCAAAATTGCAATAGAATAAGTACCTTCCAGGTAGCACCGCAGCAGTAGCTGTAGACGAAAGCAGGTGGAAGACAGACGGACGGAGATGTTTTGTTGTAAAAGGAACGATTGCTATAAGGTTCCTTCCTACAAGTGATTTTTTCTGGCCCATTCGATCAGAAACAATATCAAATTATAGGTAGTTATCAAAAAATGAAATTCAGACAAATTTTTACAAGATACTAAGAATCGCATAGGATTTTCGGTATAGGATAGGGGAATTTTTTGCCACTCAGCTCGCATTTGGAAACCCGACTTTTAATCTGGCTCATATTCAATAGCACCCATTCTTGAACTCGTAGAATCAATCAATAATGATCGATTAAACTAATTACTGAATTTTATAACAACTTTCCACAAGTAACTTGATATTCCGGGAAAAAATTCGCACGTATAGGTCCAAGTACAAGCAAAACATATAAGGCAACTCTTACCTTGAATAAAGTCAAGACGTGAAGAAGAAGTGAGCTCAGTTCCCGCATCCAAACCTGAAAACAATCAAAGAAAAACCTCCCAAGCCGCAGGGCCCCTCAAGGGCCTCGCTCTACTCGTAATCTGCTTCTATACCAGGTACGGTACTTAAGTGGCCAACCCCTTCAGAAGTAAATGGTGGTGTCCAACAACATTCGAGGCGATCATGCTTCGGTAGGAATTACGATAACTTACTGGGCATGTTACGTTAACAATTGCAATGCAAAAGTTATCTCGTTTAAGACCCGGTGACTTATTTCACAGCAAAATGGCCGTCTGTTATCAGTAGATGTGGAAGTAAAACAAGGGCGTCGGCACTTACAGGTATCGGTCAACTTAACCTGAGGTTACAAAATCTGTACGTCAAACAAGAATGAGTAGGTAACGTAAAAGGTATCCGGAACTGGAACTTGAACCCTAAAAGATATCAAAGGTAATCCCTCTTCTTTGATGACATAAAATTTACCTACCTCTTATAGAAAAGGGCTAATCATAGATTAAGCAACAATTATCGATGGAAATACATGGATATATGTACATTGCGCATATCTGATTTTTACAATATGCGATATGTTTGTCTGTACTAGAAGCATCTGTGGTTAAAATTTCAAAAAAACGATCTCAATAAATGATCAAGTTGACATTGTGCAGTCTGCGCATGCGCACCTTAATCGTTAAGATTTTTCTTGGTTCAGGTACCAGAACTATAACTTACGGAGTGCAAAAAGAACGAACTAAATATATTGAAAACTGTAGGGGTAGTTGAGACCTCGAACGGGCGGAGAAAGTGGCCATAATAGCGCCTTTCAATATGAGTTGGAAAATGCGCTAAAAATTTCATTTAGGTGCGCCACTTGCCCGAATACCCAAGCAAGAGGTGGACTTCCCCGTGTAATGGATTGCTATGATGCAGCGCGAGTGTGGGGCACTTTATCTTTCCCCTAACATCGCAAAATTCATTAAATAAACCACGTACACCCTCAACCACGTTTTAAAGCTTGGCGAGTTTTCATTTCCGTTGCTTGCCTTTCCCCTTCCTTCCTTCATTCCCGTCTTCTCATCTCCCCTTATCCTCTTATTTCACCTCCCAATTTACCCCACATTTTCCTCTTCTTATCGCTTTCCCTTCTTGTCTTTTTCCTTTTTTCTTAGTTTTTCTCTTATTTCACTCCTTTCTCTCACTCCTTTTTTCTTCTCTTCTTCTTATTTTTTATTCTTTTTCTGTTTTTTGACCCTGTGCTTTCCCACCCTATGTTTCCTTTTTACGTGTTCTTTTTCTTCTTTTCTCACATCATTTCCTTTTTTTTCGTATTCTTGTTTGCTCTATTTTCCTGTGTAGTTGCTTCTTTTTTCCTTCCCCCTCTTCGCCTTGTGCTTTTACTTTCGTTTGCTGTGTATTCATTCTTCTCCTTCGCCATTTATTCTTCTGCTCTCTTCTAATTGGCCTATACCTTGAAGGTGTGCCAGACGGCTATCAAATTTCGCTGTCTAAAAGGGGGGCCCCCCACGAATCATTTCCTGAGATGCTGTTTTTGAAAGTAAAACGTGCATAGCTTTTACATATGACAACCATTTGGTCTCCGATTTTGCATACGCATGCCTTTAGTGGTGCTAAGTTAAACTTTAGGAAATGGGGGGGGGGGGAGTAAACACATGTTTATTTATTTATTTATTTATTTATTTAACGGAAATGCCATTTTTACAAAGAAATACAAAACATAATAACTATAGCAAACTGTAATAACAAGACGAAGTGTGACTATAAATCAAAATTACTGATAAACTTAACAAAAAATATTTCAAATAAAAATCAAGTGCATTATATTGAAAAAAGGAATGGTAAATTTCATTGTTTCTAAAAACCCTTAAGTAAACACCTACGTATGTTCTACCCTTCATGGTATTCTAATGAAAGGTCTCATCGAAATAAATTGGTTTGTACAAACTATAACTTTCCCTTGCGACTCTTTTTCGAGATCAGTGAACGACGGGGCCTGAGGGGTGGGGGGGTTAAAAATTAATTTTTCCTCTTATTGTATTCTAATTAAAGGTCTCAACGAAAGGCACCGTTTTCTACCAACTACTGCCCTTCTTTCTGTCCTCTTATCAAACTATGGTGAGGGGGGGAGTGGAACTAGTTTTATCCTTCATGGTACTCTAATGAAAGGTCTCCAAGAAATGAATTAATTTCTGCTAACCATAGCCCTCCTCCTCGACCTCTTATCGTGATTTGGTATATTCCCTTATACCTCAAGAACGGATTGTCGGAAGAGGGTACTCACAAAGGGCTATTGAGACGTTTGCAAGAAATATATCCATTGGTGATGTCAAAACAAAAGCTATTTCAGTTAAAAAAAAATGCGCTTTATCTGCACAAGAGTTGTGCACAATTTATACTTGTTTGTCTTGTTTCTTAAACTGCATCGTTTACCTCTTTTGATCCGTTTGTTAAATTTTTTCTCCGCTTCATTTCTTCTGTTTCCCCTTTCTAAAATTGCTCGACTTTAATCGCTCTGTTATTTGTTTCTCTCTTTCTAACTCTTCCACTCTTCGTCCTTTCATCTATTTCTTTTGCTTCGGGCTCATCTTCTAGGCCTAGGGCCTCTTGCACAATTTCTTTCTATTCTTCATCGCTTTCTTTTTTTGACACTCCCTTTATACACAAACATTTAAAGGCCCCCTGGACCACGTTCAAATTATACAGGGTGATTCCTATAGTACCTGCCACCGTTTGGGAGCGTGTAGGTGGTGCGTAGGGGAGTATTTTGATATAGGACACTTGGGGTCGGAAATCTAAAATAAGGGTGCCAGAGCCAAATTACCTTCTGGAATTTCGCGCCTGTAGGTAGGCAACCCAACCGGCCGGCGGTGCACACGGAGCGATCTCAGGCGGCGATGTGTGGCTGACACTTGATACCGCTCAGCGTACGCTCGTCGTGCAGCTCGTGCGTTACCATTTGCCAATCCGTACATGAAGTGCATGTCCGCGTATTCCGTGTTAGTAAAACGTGCCATAGTGTTTATTCACTTGATACGCGTCGTTGCAGACGGGATTTCGTGGGTTTAAACAAAATTCTGATCAAGTGTCAGCCACACATCGCCGCCTGAGATCGCTCCGTGTGCACCGCCGGCCGGTTGGGTTGCCTACCTACAGGCGCGAAATTTCAGAAGGTAAATTTGGCTCTGGCACCCTTATTTTAGATTTCCGACCCCAAGTGTCCTATATCAAAATACTCCCCTACGCACCACCTACACGCTCCCAAACGGTGGCAGGTACTATAGGAATCACCCTGTATACTATTTAATGAAAGAAGGATCAAGTCCATCCGACATCCCGTTCTCGAGATATGAGGAATGATCAGTTATTTGGATAGGGTCTCGGAGAGGAGTGTGAAGTGTGTAGAAATCGGTGCCTTTTGTTAAAACCTTTCATGAGAATAGCATGAAGAGTACAGCCAGTGTTAACCCCTCCCCGAGCCCCCCCCCCCCTCTTAAAATATTCCACTCGACACTACGCCATACTCGACTCCATATGAATATATTGAATAGAAGAGAACTATTGTTAACCCCCCTACATCAACGGGGAATGGTTTTAGAACTATAATGTTGCAGCAAGTATCCAAAACAGGGGGACGCCAGTAGCCGGCTTGCTGTTAAGGAATGAAGGCGGATATATGTGTTGATTCGTTAACAATTGAGAATGTTCTATAAGGATGATTGCTTACTATATAAGCGAGTTGAATTTTGTTTAGTTAGTAAGTTCCAACATCGACGCCGAATTGATAAGTAGTGATTTCATGTTCATCATTAATTTATTAATTGTAAACAAATGAACTAATTAAATTTTTTAACTAATTTTTGATTTGTGATTTCAATAATGAAAAGATTTTTTAAATTTTCGTCTAGGTAATTTTGACGCCTTTTTATCTGCTTTGGTTGCCGAGAAAAATGGCAAATTTTGGGAATTTTAGAGCCATAATTCCCAAACGAAACAGTTTGGACCATTGGTTTAATCTATACCAGCAACTAAAAAATGCCGTTCGGCATGCGAAATGCACTCGATACTTTGCAACCAATTCATAAATGTACTTATACATGAACATAAATAATTTTAGGCAACCTGGGTAGGTGCGGTGAAGATGCGGTCTTTGGGATTCTAAGAATACAATCAGAATGCGATTTTAGAAATGATCGTTTATTGCTTAACAATGTCATTACGCGTAAGGGGGTTACGGTTGGGTTCAATTAAACTGCAGGTGATGTCTTAAAGCTATTATCTTCTACTATCCAAAAACTTGGTTAGGTCGCCTATTTTGCCGAGCAGCGCGTCGCCCTGCTTCACGACCTGCTTGTACGTGTCGCTCCGTTGCTGTTCGATTCCGCGCGTCAGCACGACCAACCTGTGCACTTTGTCGATCTTCGCGAACAGTTTTCCCATCTCGATTAGCTGCGAGATTTCCGTTTCGATAAACTCCGGCGTCACATCGAATTGCTGCGCCATGTAATCGAAGCTTACCGACTGGAACGAGAACAGAAACTGCAGGTAGGCCTTCGCTTTCATGTCGCGCACGTAACATCGGTAGTGGGGGTGTAGGATGTAATTCTCTTTGACTTGCCTTTCGACGTTGGCCAGGGTCTGGAAGAACTTCGCGTAGTCGCAATCGTAGAGTGAGAAGAGGAACTGCCTGGTTCCGGGTAGGCCGTGCAGCGCTTGTAAAAGGGTCGAGTTGTCGACGACTTGTCTTTTTAGGTCCAGTCTTGGTAGCGCGTAAATCGCGGCGATGACTGTGTAGGTTATAAAGGTTGGGTAGTCCAAAAGTTCGTTGCAGGCGAACGTGGCAACGGTGGCGAGAAAATTGGTAGAGGCCGAGCTGAAATCTCGGACCATCAAACCGTATAATCCTCTGTAAATTTGTAAGCGGTTTCGTTTCTCGTAGTCAACTCCCATTTCGGCCAGTTCCTCTGCACGTGCTAAGTGGTGACGCACCAGTTCGTGGTTGGAGAAGAAGAACCCGATGCGAATACACGATAAGACGTTGTCCATTTTTTGACCAATCGCGACAGTGTGTGCAAATGCCTGACCTAAAACTGTAAGGGCCTTTGACTTGTCCCCGATATCGCTTAGGTACTGTGCCTTTGCGAGAAATTCATCTCTCACCTCGGAAGCGGTACCGTGCGTTAAGACATTGTCGATTGCCTGGTCCAACTCGAGCAGGCGACTTTCGTTGCGACTCGCCATGGTTTGGTACAGCTCTTCGTCGCGCTCCCAGTTCAGCTCCTTACATACTTCGACATACCACGGCGCCATGTTTTTGGAAACTATCGTATTTAGTAATTTCGCTTTAAGTTCCTCGTCATCTTTATATTCTGGAAGGGTAAGCACAAATTTCGCCTGAGCTATGGCCAAGTCGGGTACGCGTTCAATGTGAGCGCAGTCTAAGGATGTGGACGACATAAATTTTGATGGGGTTTGCCGAATTATATGACGTTGAGTTTGACAGCTCCATTTTGTTCATTTGGTTAGGTTAATTCATTTGCCTTTGTGACGTCACTTAGACCATAGAGTATGGTCTGTGTTTCCTACCTCCGGGAATATTTGGAGGTGCACCTTCTCATTGACTTAGAAGATGTTCTTGAGTTATAAGAACATGGGGCATTAATCATTATGTAACTAATTTGTTGACATACGATAAACAATCTTTACAAATAAATGCACTTCCATCGCACGATAAGAACTGTATTGAAGCCATTGAACTGTCCGTCCCAATTTTCTATCAGTTGCAATTTTTTTAATTGGGACAGACATCAATTCGGTTCATTTTAATGTGTGTCAGCATTATAATTAATGAATCTAAACATAGATCTTGTGGCCTAATTGCTTTAAAATCTTGTTGCAGGGTATATGTCCAGGTAACCGCTTAAGGCTGATAGCGGGAGTGTTCGAGGATACGGGACAAAGCAGAGAACCGTCGCCGCAATTGACCGAAGTCTTTTCTGACCTTAGCACGTTACAGCGACAGGGGAAGAGGAGAAGTTGGCACGTGCAACCTAATAAAGTAAGTTGAACAATGGATTTTAATTTCTAATACGAACAAAGCAACTCCAAGTAAATGACAATTGAAAATTGCTGCGTTTCTGAACCTCAAAGTGGAGGGAGTTGGCAACACTTTGGAAAAAGGACCGATCAAATGTTCACCTGCGTAATTTAGGCCCGGTGCACACGTCCGATTTTTTTAACGTCGCTGCGTGAACGGACCGGCACCGTAAAATTAAACGCACATGTATGGTTTTTAAGCGTCCGTTCACACTGTGGCGTCGTACGTTTCAAAACCGGACGTGTGCACCGAGCTTTAGTTGTTTAGTAGAACGTAGTGAGGGGGGGGGGTATACGTAAAGAGGAGGGGGGCCAATTGTCGCGAGCAGGTATATTAAGACAAAAATATTTTTGGCGGTTAAAGAAGCCGAAGTAAATCTTCAAAATGGAACATTGAACAAGTTGATGTAGGTCTTCTCTGTTTGATATGGCACAGGGCATGCTAGATTTCATAAGTTTTCTAAATATTGAATCACAATTTGAAAGACAAAACTGGCACCGATTTCCGGTTATACCGGAAGTGGCACCGGAATGTCACATGAAATTATATTTGATAATTTTTTCGTATCGATAAATAAAAGAGATATTGAGTGACCCTCTTATCTCGAACGCACTGTATATAAAAACAAATCAAATTCTTTGTATTTTTCCTAACCGGTTAAAGTATATGACCGAGCCTTTAAGATTGCCATTACTATTTAATTGACAAAAATGCCCCCTAAAGGAATCGATTCATTTTGCGTAGGTACACTAACAAAATCTTTTATAAGAAATGATTATAATTTTTCTGGGGTACGGTTAGCCTCCGTCACATCACGTCAACTCCAATTATTTAAACAAAATTTTAATTAACACCTGACATAATCCTTGTGCACGAATAGAACAATTTCGCATGAGAATTCTTATATAGGTTATCATTTGGGCTTGATTAAACACAACATAGAAACATTTGCAATCAATTAAACTGAAAGAAAAATAGACACTCAGGGTCCGAATACACATACCACGTCACAAGCGCTCGATTAAAACAATTAATTAAAAATATTAATTACATTATCGTGTTAATAATCCGTACTGTCCGGTCTATTGCGCTTTCTATAACTGATCTACAAACACCAACCGATGTTGCTTTAAAATTGGCTTTTTGATGATGGAAAAACCTCCTTTAACGAGTACTGAGAAAGGCTTCACATAAGCGAAAAACGCTCGATAAACACAACACTCCGAAAAACTTTTTCGTAAGCGTACTACAAATGCTTCAACTCGGCTCGAATTAACGTTCACTTTTAAATGACGGAATAAAATCCAACAAAAAACTTCACCACCAAAAAAGGAACGATTGTTTTCCTCTGCTATTTAAAACAGTTGCCTTTTCTTTTTCTTTCCTTTCTCTTTCCTTAACAAATTAAAGAATTGTTGCATTATAAACTACGACGAAAAAACATTTGCAATAATAACACGTGGTTAACTTTAAACTGATTAGCGTACGCATGGATAACGAAACCTTATTGCACTCACCGGAGATAACACATATACAAAAGAATAAATTAATAAACAAACTTCACCACCAAAAAAGGAACGATTAACGTCTTCCTCTGCTATTTAAAACAGTTTTCTTTTTCTTTCCTTTCTCCTTCCTTAACAAATAAACTACGACGAAAAAACATTTGCAATAACCAATAACACGTGCTTATCTTGAAACTAATTACCCTACGCAGGGACAACGAAAACAACAACGAAAATTGCACTCACCGGAGACCTTTACAAAAGAATAAATTAAATAAACAAATACAAGCGTTATTTAAACAAAACTAACAACATTAAATAATTCTTAAACAAAATCACATTGGCTTCAAATTCAAATGATGTGATTAACATCGTGTTTAATCTGAAACAACCCATATTTACGCTTAAAATAAATGAAATTCACATACAGAGTTCTCCATCATTATTACAGGTGCTGATGCCAAAGAAATTTTCCGAATGACGTAGTTTACACAATATAATTACCCTATTATACAGTAAACAGTGATGTTTCTTAACCGTCCAAACTCTAAATACTGATTCATCCATTAGGTTGATCCAAGCGATTGAAAAGGACAATATTTTTTGTACTCATTGAATGGAAAGATAATGTTTCCAAGCATCCTCGATGCACGGGAAAACGACTTTCCCGCATCGCGGTGTTTTTTAGTTTCCGCTGGAGAGAAGGGGTTATGCGCGTTCTTCGGTTGGTAGTACTTATTGAAGTCAACGAACGTCATGTCATGGTTAACTGTCATCTGCTGTAAAATCAATTAAACCGTTGGTTGAGGGTATTTAGTGCGATTAATCGGAAACAGACGTACAGTAAGTTTTACGTAAATATATAAACAAGAACTTATAACGCAATCAAATTATTTTTCAGAATTGGAACTCAAGAAAAAGTAAAATTTATTGTTAAAACGTCTTAAAATGTGACCTGTGATATTCTGCAACTATTCGCATATGCAGTTTAAGAAAGCACATATTAACACACACAAAGCTTCCAAGGATTTTAAATGTAACGAGTGTATTTACGCAACTCAAGATAAATCAAATTTGAGAACACATTTCTTCACACATGTCTTCTGGGAATATTAAATACGATCAGTACACTTACGCGACCAATAAGAGCACTCTTTTCAAAGCATATTTCTTAACATTGAAGACTTCCAAGGATATTTAGTGCAAACGATGCAATGCCGTGACCAGTAGTAGCACTCATTGCAAAGGCAAAATATGTATTAACCAAAGATGTGGAAGTTTTAAATGTGACCAGTGCAATGGTAGTTACAAAATTATGTTACCAACCAAACATATGATTGTGTTACCAACTCATGATTAAAAAAAAACTAATTTACAAAACTTTATTAATTTTGACCTTTTTTTTACGCAATTCGTTACAAAAAATATTGTACCTAACTCTTTCGGAAAGAATTTTCCCGCATTCGCACTAAATGCAGCACTCCCTACGGTCGTGCTGCAAACAAAGTGCTCATGCGGGAAAATTAACTTACCGAACTTGTTAGGTAAATAACTATTACAAAATCCAGGGTCTCGAAATGGCTCCCTCAAAAATGTAGGTGTATCGACGGTAAGCGTAAATGACCTTAAAAAAGATTTGCGTACATATGGTTTTATTTTTTATTCAATTCACTTTTCGAATATTACGTTGATTTTTTATTTCCGCACTTCTAGTTCATGCCGTTATCCGTACTCTTAATAGTACTCAATATTTCACAATTCAACTTCAGTTAAGGTTGCACAATTTTAATCTTGGTGCTTTAAAAAACTTCCATTATTGTTTGTATTTACGGTGATAGTTTCTAAACCGGAAATTATCCTTACTAAATGAAGGCCACAAAAAATTATGACGCGTTTGATTTACATGTACTCAGCTTCGCTACTGAAGTCGCATGCGACTTTTTTCCCCGAAATTCTACACCGTCCCGATTGGAGTGTCACGCCAATATATAAAACACCCTGCGATAAATTACACGTAGTAGAAATAAATGGCTGGCCGCTTCATGTCTAATTTCTTATAACATCCACTATCGGTTTCGTTACTGCAGTTATTTGAATGTTGATTAGAAATAATCCAGTTCGTCTCTTAATAGCATACAATGTTTACATAGATGATAATCTACCAAACTTTTGGCTACGGAAACGACACGATTTTTATGAATTTTTGTGTATTTGGTAGACATGAGAGTAGCTAATTATATAGCTCGCGGCGCCGAACATAAGCGTATGTCCCATCCAAGAAAACATTGACTGATAGGCGGTATAAAGTTAGCAGGGGTTGCGACGCCGAAGTCGAGCGTATGTCCCTTCCAAGAAAACGAAATTTCACAAAGGCGATCCGAAATCTACTGGGCACTGATAAAAAATTTGGAAGGGCTCCAGGAATTAATAGATTGTAAGGGAACGAGATAGTAGAAACAGTCAAAGTCGTGCACAGCGAGGTTACACGTTGTGCTCTATGATTCTTATAAAGCGGAACAAGTACGAGTATTAAGTACACAATTAAACAATATATATGCATACAATTCTGATTGTATTGACGTTCATTACCAATATCTTCTGCGAGTTCTTCATTATCATTACAGCAGCTATCATTGGGTTTTGGTCAATATTAAAAACATGACCCCTTTAGTCATGTCAATGTGACACGTAATTTTTAAGTGTCTCGGTTTTTATAATTTTGCGGGTGTGAAACGCATTTCTTCTTACATTTTACAGTTTTATCGGGGCTGCTACGTAGCGCGGGTTTTGCAAAATCGGCGAGAAATGGCTCCACGTTGAGTGGATTTTGTGACCTGTAAATAATTGCGAGAAATTGCGTGCGATTACGGTAGCAAAGTTTAAGGATAACTTGTGAATTGCGGAAACTATTACGGTAAATGCGTACAATAGCGGAAGTTTTTGAATACGCTAAATTACATTCTGTGACCTTGAAAAATAGAAGAATAAACTTATTGAATTTAATGCTGCAACTCTCGGCACGTCTGAACCGGTCCATTGTGCGCAAATAATTTTTTTTTAAATGACATTGACTGTTACCGGCTGATTACCTAATTTGGCCGTGTTTGAACTTCAAATTAAAGGGATCATTTATACGAAACCTCGGATTTCGTACCGACTGCCCTCGCATTCTCAAAATATGGTCTTCTAATCTCTAGAAGGTCGCTTGATTCTTCTTCTGCACTCATTTACTTCGTGGATTTCTTGAATAGTTTCTCGATATTGGTCTCGGCTTTCTGCGGATACATTTCAACCTATTTCTCTATACCTTTTAATGGCGTGACCTTTTAGCAGCATTCGCCTTCATTAAATTTCGAAAGGCAAGATCATTTCCTTGACCTATTTTTAATGCACTTCTGCAACTCTGGATTAGAAACGTGCGTTTACATGTTTGAGCCCTAAAAATATTATAACCAT